AATGCATAATAATTTAATCTCTCCAGATAAATAAACCTATTTCCAAAGCTAATATGTGGCAATATATCACTAGAACTTTCTATCTAATAAATACCTCATGTTGGTACTGCGGGTTTCTTTTTGTCCTCTTTCTATCCTTTCTTAGTGCCTACTTCCATTCTTCTGTTTTCACTGAAGAAAGTGCTTGCATTTCCATTTACTCTTTGATTCTGTTATACTTTTCAGGTCTTTGCACACCTCTGTAAAAAATCTCCTGTCACCAGTGAGAAATATGTCTGAGAGAGACTCGACATTCTTTAAAGAAATAGGATTTTTTTAAAATATAATGAATCACTATAATATTTTCTGTTATTTTGCTTTCAGATCAGTGTGGTATTATATACATCACATGTTAAATGCATTATTCCATACTAAAATCCTACTTTACAAGGATAACATAATAAAAGTGATATTGAGTATAATTTTTGTCTTGAGATTGTCTGTACTTTTGATTTTAGTTTAAATTGCTTCATTTTTTTTTTTCTTTTATTTTTAGTACTTGTTCCATTCACCCTTGGGCTGCTGGGTTTTTTTTGCGATGACACTACACTCTTCATCTGCATGTCTCTAATCCAATCACTGTTGGAATTTTATGTCTTTTTCATATGAAACATTTTAGGAACAAGCAAATGAGTTCAGGAAAGAAGAAAAGAATAGTCCATTGTTCACATCAAGTAAGGTTGCTGGTAGCATCTTGAAATCCCTCTGGAACAAAACTGATAAAATAGAGAATGCAGTTTAGAAACACTTTCTGATTAAAAGTAATGGAAAAATAATCATGGAAGTCATAATATGATTAAAAGTTTAGAATTTACAAGTACATTGTTTTTTCCTCTAAAGAAAATCTATCTCTGGTAAGTAAAGATGTGAATATAAAATGTATTAAATACCTCTTTGATTATCTCATTCAAAAGACAGGTAGTGTTAATCTACTTTAGGTTCATCTCTTTGAGGGAAGGCAAGAGACTTCCATTCAAGAATTTAATGCTTTTTAAATTCACATCATTAATTAGCAGAACTATCCTAACTGTGGAATAGACTTGCCCTAAAAGACAGAATGATCAAGAACATTGAAAGTTGCACTGGGATTAATTTAAATAGAAGATTTCAGGGAATCTGCTACTGAGAGGTACTTTACCAGCTCATGTCATTTTACTGACTACTTAGGAAAGGGCAGTCTCAGCACTACTAAAACAACTTTTCAGCAATGAAAAACATTTGCTTTGAGCAAAGATATGTCATAGATGAGCAATTGTTCAGAGAAATGTGCCTTAATGCATTAAGGATTCCGGATAAAGTAAAGGGTGGACAAATTGAGAGCAAAATTCTTATTAGCATTTTTATTTTAATATTTTTTCTGTTGACTTTTAATAGACAAAAAATAACTTTGGTTTATTCAGGGCAAGAACGGTTCAAAGAAAACAACTATGTCATCAGAGACATGCAAGACAAGCATCTGAAAAAGGAGGAGTGAATCCTGGAAAAAAATTCTAAATGGCAGTTTGTACATGTAATTGAAACAATTAAACGTGTATACACAAGAGCACTGCTCTGAATACAGTAGCAAACAATCAATAATGACACTTCAAAGGAAAGGTTGAAAAATCAAAGACGGCTCTTTTTTATTCCCAATTGCTTTTCAGTAGCTTACTATAGACAGCACAGAAAGATTTCTGCATATTCAACACTCTTATTATTTATTTTCAAATTTTATATTGTTTTGTTAAGGAATCTATAAACTTGAAAGGATGTTGCTGAAACTTTCAGTGTACTAGTTAAGACATACTTAAAAATGTATTTGCTATTTAGGATGCACGTACAACACAGGACTTTAATATTTTCTACATCCCTTTTCACAAATTCTGGGCCAATTGAGGAGGGGGAGTGTTGTAACGAGCGGGCAGCTTCTCTCACCGCGATACCCTGAGTGGTGGCGTGCTGGGCAGCAAGGGAAGAGAACGGGCAGCTGCTCCCCCTGTGAAGCTCTGCAGTTCCAGTTGTCGGTGCGGGGACAGACGGAGGCGACACGGAGCTTGGGGACGAAAAGGATGGTTTTATTTAGCAAGCCCCAAGACGCTCCGGGGAGGGTGAACAAAGGTTTTATACAGGAACTCAAGAGGCGGGGTATAGGAACAGCAACCAATGAGGGTAGGGCTGGGGAGGAGTCTAAGGACGGACTAAGATAGCACAAACCTATCAGGGGAAACAGGGGAGGGGAGTAACACAAAGTAACCAATAGGGTGTTGAGCCTCACCAAACAGACAGGGAATTCTGTGGAAACAAGGGAGGGGATTAGGAGGAATGGCAGGGAATGTTCTGGGGAAAGGGGCAGGGAAAGGGAGGATTGACAACTTGGAGAGGAGGGGGTTAGGGAAGAGCTTGGGAAGATTGACAGCTGGGGAAGGGAGGAGATTGGGGGGGGGGGGGATGTTGAACATACACAGAACAAATATCAAATTAAAGAAAAACACACCACAACAGGGGAGGTGGGGAAAGATGTTTTTTAATTTAAAATGTATTTCCATACTTCTGATCAGTTATGGCCTTTTCTGCACTCCTACTATAGTTCAGTCTAGCACTGCAGCATTGCCTTTCTCTCATTTCCCTCCTATGTGCTGCCATCCCAGTCTGGTCCAACATGACCAGAGCAGGGTGGGAATGCAGTGTCCAGGGGCCACTTGCTCCTTAGACTCCCCTTGCTGGCAGAACTCCTGCCCCTCCTTTGGGCCAAGTACAGAAGCCAGTCTTGGAGACAAGGCTTAATGGGGAAGGCCAGTGAGGGGAAAGGAGGCTTTTCTGTCTCAGAAGAACAGGAGACCATCATGATGCTACAGAATCTCTGCTGCTGCCTGCTGTAGCCTCCTCCATGGGCAAGGAATCCAGAGAAAAAGGATGCTAATAAGAATACAGAAATCACAGTCCTCAGCCATAACCAAGCCAAATCCAAAATTTAATTTCTTATTCAAAACAGTTAAAAGTACTGCAGTTCTTCTTTGTATTGTAATACAGTTTAATTTATTTTAAAACAAACAAAACTCTAAAACCAAATTTTGACTACTTATTTTGCATAAAGAGTCATAGGCATGGATAAAATTAAAATCTGAGTAATAACTGTATTAGCATCCACAACTATTTAATAAGTCCTATGTGACAATAATTTACGAGTTTTCAGAGAGACTCCATACAGAAGGGACTGAGATATTAATTTTAAAAATTAGAAATTTGTTTTTTTTCATTATTAGTCTAAAAATTGTGAAAAGAATAAAAATATTTTAAGAGTAAAAACTATATAAAATTATAAAGCTGTGAAACAATTCACATGCACTGAAGTAAAAAGGCTTGTTGTTTTTTGCATGTAAAAAGTATTCCATTCTCCAACTAAATTGTCATCTGAAATGTGACCAAAATGAAAACAAAGAATAATCTTTGCAGTTAGTAATAAAGGTTTTTAACTTTCTTATAAATTTATGTCTCTGTCCAAAATTATGCAGAATAGAAACAGGGAAATTTTATTTATTAAATCACTGTGAACAAAGGATGTGACTGTCTTGGTTCTGGCCAGACAGAAGAGACTTGCTTCTGTTAATTTTTGCAGTATCCAGGAGGCACAGCCAGGACTTGGAGGTTATTCCGTACCACCTCATGTCATTTGCCAGGGATGGGAGGGGAGCAAGGAAGGGAGGGATCTCTTCCAGGGAGGAGTTCCTTGTGGTTGAGGTAGCATGGCTGAGGTCGGGTTTGGTCAGGTTCTGTGGTGAGCATTTTGTATGTGAAAGTAAAAGGGTTGGTGTATCAAGGACCACTTTCTGCATTCCTATTACTCTAACTCATTTGAATTTTTAATTTACAAGAACATTACTGACTTTCATCCTAATTACATTCTCATTCCAATGCAGAAATTGGACAAGAGGAATACATAAAAGATATAGCAGTGCAGTTAAGTCCTTCACCTAAGTAAATAGTTAAACACCTGATTATGTAAGGAAGCCAAATTAACATGAGTAGAGCTACCCAGCTGCTTTAAGTTAATGTATGTTTAAAAAATTTGCTGGACTATGACTTTAAAAAAGTAATGTTTATGCTCAGATCTTTTTTTTACACACAGACAAATGATAAATCTTGTGAGGTAAACAATAAATCTTGTGATTCAAAATGCTTTTCTTGAAATTTTATGAGCATCAAGAACAAGGTGGTGTCATCCATCACAGAGATAGGTTCCTTAATAAAGTTATTTTTTTAATGCTTTGACACTTGATGTTGTAAGGAATGTTAGGAGTGCCACAGGCCTAACAGCCCCTCAGAAGAATTCATGATAAGACACAATAAGTTTCCTACTGAAGTAGACATCATCAGACTATCTAACACAGATCCAGTGAAGCTGGAAGCTGTGTAGATTTTTACCCCAAATAAGAAATGGATCATGCAGCTCTTTCACATCCCAAACATAATTTAGGATTAAATTCTGTCAGTCTACTAGAATACTTAATTTCAGGCACAAATTAATTTTTTTTTGATTCTTACAATGAGTACTTTTGTATTCAGGACAGTTAACTATATGCCTAATATCTAATTTGCATTGTAGAACAAATCTGGACTACTTCTCAAAGTAGCAATGTAGGTAACAACCTTTTATAATGCACAATAGTTGCCACATTTAGTAAAATCTGATATCTGAAAATCATTAGGATTGTCGTTCAAACAGGTTTCTATCTATTTCCACTAACTAATGGCATTCAATTTGTCAATCTTTTGGAAAGCCAATATAAATTAAATTATTACAATATCTATTTCCTTTTTAGGGAAATATTCCCACTGTTGATCAACTAAAAATGCAGTATTGCTTTAATAGGAAGAATAGCAAGTTATTGAATAATATCCCTAGGCTTGCCCAAAGAAAATTGTATAGGGAATATTGACTTTTAGGACAAATGATAAAGTCAGAGAAATCTCCTTTTCTTTTCTTTTCTCTTCTTTCTGTTTCATTTTGATTCTTTCTTTTTTCCATGTAATTTAATTCAGCCTTTCAGGATGATGTCCAGTTCTGCAAACTTGATGTAAATTCTGTTGCTGTTCATGTGATCACATGATGGCATTGATGAACTGCAAACCAAGAGAAGTAAAAACATAAGAAATATATTTCTTGATTTCTTATTAGTGTTTTAAATCAAAATTATTCACTTTTTCTTTCATCACTAAAACACTTAGCAATAGAAAACAGAAAATTTATCCTGGCAACTAAACTGGGGACATGACAGACAATGGATTTGCCAGATTGCACACTCAAATGCTCTTTTTTCCCACCTTCATTCCCATTAAATCTTTATCATATATCAACACTATCATCAAAATTATATATTTGCATGACATTATGCTTGTAATAAGAAGGCTGAACAAATCATTAAAAAACCTCCAACCAATAAAAAACCCCACAAAGCCTCATACTTCTAGTGACTTATGACAAAGATTAGGAATTGAAACCAAGAGCTTTACAAGATTGAATTATCTGTATTCCACTTGAACAAGCAAAAGCCATAAAATGGCTCACAATAAATTTCTGTTACAAAAGACCAAGGTAAATCAACAACTCTCCAAAGTATCTTGCAGCTGCACAATAGAAATCCTAGTTACCAAAAGCAAATGAAAGGCAGAAGACCAATAAATATCACGAACAAGCCAGCATCTAGTGCCCAGATAGAGCTACTCATCCCGTAGGATTTTAGCACAGACATTAATTATGTCTTCAGCAGAGCACTGCTGCCATTTACTAAAGCAGACCTCATTTCACACCAATAACTAAAATCTCACTTAAAGAATGGTAAGTGATGAGTTAATTCTGTTCTGAATTCCCTGGGTCCCTACTGTCAAACACTGTGTGAGCAAGTATCAGACATGAAGGTCTGATGCTATGCAAGCATGGAAAATTATGACCAATATCAACCTAGTAGGCTATAATTCCATTAATGATATACATAGTGACTTAAAATACTAGAGTTCTGACTATATTACTAGATTTTGTGACAGAACAGAAAGAAATCTTGAAATATAAAGGAAATAAAAAAAAGAAAATGAAAAAAATATACAAGAAACAGCAGTGATTTGATATTCCAAAAAAGGACAGTCTTTGCTTCAACAGAATGAGTATAAAGATTGTAAAAATGTTACAATACATTTTTTCATTTTATATTAGGCTGCACTCAGTCATATCTTAACAATTCATAGAAGTCATAATTATTCTTTACAGGAATGGATCCACAAAGTTTTTGCATTGCAGCCCTGAAAAATTGAGATTATCACTCATATGTGAGTATATGTTGGATGCAAAAGGCCTAAAACGAATTTATTAAGTCCCCTCTGTCTCTGTTGAATGTCTCTATATCCCAGCTAGGAATTTATCATCTACCGTTGCTTCTCAAAATACCATATGCATGGGAAAGAAAGCAAAGGAAAGGGCATCAAGACAACACACACAAAAATATTTTTCTCAGATAAGGTATTCTGATACATGGTGTTAGATAGAGATAGAACATTCACAGGAGTGTAGCCTCAGTCATGAGAACTGAACCTTAATTTTAAAATTGAAGGGAGACTGTGGTATCTGCAGTCTGCATGTATTACTTTAGCCTTTTCAATATTTTGCATTATGTAGCCTGTTTTTTTCTGTATTTGCTTACAGATTACAAAGGCAGGAATAATAAAAAATTGCCACTAGCAAATTAAATTTCAAAAAGCTAACAAAATCAAAGGTAATTCTGTTTACTATTATCTTTCAAGGACTATATAACAGTTTTGACAGTTGTCGTAGCAAATGTGAGATATCATAAACCTGTTATCATAACAAAGATTTTCACAGCAATTGGAAATAGTATCAACTCTGTACAATCATGACTATATTTCGAAACAAATTATTCTAGCACCATTCATCATGACTGATAGTCATGAAAGGTTGTAAACCTGGACTTCAAGATTTGCTTTGGATCATATTTCATCCGTGACTAACACATAGCCTTTAAGCTCTAGCTAAAAAGGTTGACAATGTTGGATTTTAATGAGGGAGAGGAGAAGGGGAAAAGAGTGGAAAGCAGTAAGAGAGAAGGGAGGAATAATTGTTTTGAACATTTAAATGCTTTTCTTCTCTGCTGTTAGAGGAACCATGACAAAATAGCTCAGAACATAACTGCTCTTCTTGTTTCTTATAGAAGTAAGAAAAGGTCGTAACTATTTTTGAACATCTGTACATGACAATGGCAACAGGATTAAGACAGGATTGCTGTGATTATAAGGACAAATTTGAAGAGAAAAATTTTTGTTTGTTTTCAAGATTCAGTGATATTTCCATCGTCTCAAGAGATGGGGAAGAGTCAGATACCTTCATTAGATAAATCAAGGAAACACTCATGCCAATGAAATGCAAACTTATTAATTAAATAAACTGCAACAGTATTGTAAAGAGTATATTAAAATATTGGCTACTAATTGACTGGTACTTTTTTATACAGCATCTAAATACAACATAGTTTCACAAAGACTGTTCTGACTTTGAAATAAATGAAAGATTTTGAGAGAAAGAAACTTCTAAAATACACTCATCATAGAAACTGGAGCACAGGTTCTTATTTTCATTTTGACCATAACTATGACACATTAATCAAAATGCAATAATCACAGTTCCTCCATACTTATGCTATTTATACCTTAGTATTAGAAATTAAATCTATTGTTCAGCCATGTTCAAGAAAAACAATAACATTTTTGAGAGGAGCACTCCTGAGAAGCAGTGTTTTTCATAATTTCCAAAAAAAGACCCTGAATGCAAACTATTTTTCACTTTTTAACAAATTTACCTTGCTCTGCTACAAACTCTTTTTATTTGCATATCTCTGCATCACTGTCAAAGACATTGCTAATTCCTACATGTTCTATCCTGATTTATGTAATTCCAGTGCAAGTTCCATATTACAACATATCAAAATGTTTATGGATAGTACCAACCTGTTGTACTCCTTATCTGAACACAGCCAATCATCAGCTATAAACTTTGTTCATCAATACAGCAAGACATTGACAAATTATATCTGTACACAGCAATAGCTCTGGTTTTATTGTCATTTAGCAACTTCATCCATTTTCAACTCACAGTATATTAGTTTTAGTTCCTTTAAAAATTCATCAAGTAACTTTATGTTTACACCTGCATGCACTATACCATTAATACAAGCTATATTATACTTCTCCATGTTCCAAGAAAAAATTACTCATAAACTGATCATAATTTTAGCTTCACTGTAATTCTATCTATTACAGGTCAATGACATGCTTATCTAACAGTTCAGATCTTTGATTACCACTTCTGTAGACATATATGAGTTATCTTGGGGATAATGATAGCATATTTATGATGTTATAAGGACTAGTATGGGCTGAAAATTTAACCTAGGCACTAGAATATTTTGTTTGTATTTAGTTCTGTTCAGAGTTGGCTACACAAATTAGCTGTCTGTATTCTAGTTTAAAGAAATAAATCTTTAATAAATCTCACACCTAATTATACTCTGATCTACATTTGTATTGAAGGGTGAAAAAATGTTTCAGCCAAACAAATGTCTTTGGGAGAAGTTACAATCCTTACCTGTTTGCTCTTGTGACAAAAACCAGCAGAAATGCTGTGCTTTAGTGCAGGCTTCACATACAGTTTTTGTTGTGGGCTTTGTACAAACAGCCATCTTAGTTATATTTAATAGAATTTAGTAGAGATATCTTATCCCAAGTGATACAATGCTTCAGATTAAAAACAAAACAAAACAAAACCCAAAAAATCCCAAAACCCCAAAAGAAATGAACAAGAACACAAAAAATAGCAAACAAAAATGTAGCTTTTTAATTTTTTTAATGTAGCTGTACATAAATAAGTAATGTCAGTGATTTCACCATCAAGCAGTGAATATTTGAACATTGAAATATTTTATCCAAAGGATAAGACTCTATATAAAGTAAATAATGAAACTATAAATTGCTTAAGCAAAATTTTCCATTCAAAACTCATTTACTGTATAACTATTCAGCTACATCCCTGCATCAGTATAACAGGACTTTTGTATATTCTTCTAGGATAACCGCAAGAAATAGAGAATAAGTTGCCCTTATGATCAAATCTTCACATTCAGTACACATCTGAGGTCTTTACTAGATCAATTAAGAACTCTATTGATGTGAAAAATGATTGGACTCCATCAGTATCATTTGTGGGTTCACCCTTCTACAGTAAATTTGCCTCACTTAACATGGCAAAAAGATTCCAGCTTGATACACAGTAATTTAAACTTAAGCATTCAACAAGACATAACCATCTGGTGTTTACCTCTCTTTCCCTCTTCAATACCTAGAATCTTGTGTACAGACTTCAAATTTGAATTATTTTTATGTAAGAAAATAGATTACTCTACTTGAATCCTTAGATTTTAATTAATCTCTTCATGGAAAATGCTTCCATTTTCATTGTGCTCCAGGAGAGAGCAAGAAGTGGCAAAAACATGGTCATGACTTTTATAGTCAGGGTGATTTTATTCCAGTGGAAAATTTCCAAACCCGTGAAAAATTTTTTACAGTCTGTTCAATTAACATCTGTTTCTTTGTGTCTAAAATAGGAAAAAAAAGTAGGAAATATTAGATTATTTCAGAGAGAAATAGATGTTTTTTATGTTGCATACATTATATCTAGTAATGACTTTGAATGCAAAAATTTGATTTGCAAAGTAGAAGAAATGAAGGTATTTTACATAAAACTCTCTATATAAAGAGTTTTTATTCCCACTGGAATGTGATGGCTAAGGGAAAAAGGATGAAGTGTATATAATTATCTTTTGAAAACTCAGTGCAAGATTACTTTTGTACTTTTTTGTTTAAAATACATTTGACATTGACATTTGTTCATATTGTAGAAAAAAGTATTAAAAAATTTCATTGTTTGTTTCAACCTTGTTCATTTCATCAACAAGAAAAAGTATACAATAGATATATTTTTTAACTTTTCCAGAAATTTTTTGTCTCATGTGCTTGAAATACTTAAATATTACCTTAGTACAGAAGCAGTTCTGATCTGAATT